CTATGAGCCCACTGAACGCGCACCGGTCTAATGAGTGGCAGGCCGGGAAGCAGTCCCTGCGAGTTGAATGGCAGTCTCAGAGGCAGCAAACAGCCGTCCGCCGTGGCGTCATAACCTATCCGCGTATCCAGTTCAGAGTCCAAGTTCAAAGTGCTGGTCCGTCCGGAGTCCTTGGTCAGTCGGTTGGTGGAGTGGACAGCCCCACCTAGCCGGAGTAGTCATACACCACCTGCGGCTGGAAGTCGGGGTTGGCGGCGCGAGCCAGCGTGTCAGCGTACAGCTCCAGCCGCTGGTTCATGCGCAGACCCCACCTGTCGCGCACCTGGCGACACAGGTTCAGGTCGAGCTCGGCCACCAGCAGACCGTCCGACAGGCGCGACAGACCCGGCGTGCGGCTCGCGTCTGGAGCGGCCACATAGCTCGAGCCGTAAAAGTGGCCAAAGTCGCGGTGCGCCGGCCGGCCGTCGGCCGAGGTGAACTCGTTGGGGAATGTCTCCGTGCCGACCCGGTTGATGGCGAAGGTGAAGTAGGAGTTTGCGATGGCAGCGTTGCGCGCCTCGATGCCCCACATGGGCTCGCTGAGCGTTCCGACGGTGGCGGAGGGATTAAACACCAGCTCGGCGCCGTTCAGACCGTAGGCCATCCAGTTTTGCGGCATGTGACGGCCATAGCAGATGTTGACACCGATCTTACCGAACTCCGTCTGAGGGAAGGCAGAGTGTTCGCTAGTTCTGGGACAGATTGATCGAACATAGCGATTACCAACTGCCGCCGATGGGTACCGAAGGCACGACACTGGCTCACCGCTTGGCGAAAAGCGCCGCCTACAATAAAACCTGGCGAGTCGTGAAGTAACTACGGCCAAGGCCAAATGTACATAGCCAAGATCATCCGGTGAGGTGATCACCATAGCCAAAAGTACATAGTTAGTACGCCGACAGGGGTGCGGTTTGGTGGTGAGCACTGCGAAGGTTATGGCCGGACCCGATGTCTCCCGGACGATGAAGATTCTACGTCGTCCGGCCAATGGCGTTCGAGGTCGGCGGGGGCTGGGATGCGGCTATCGAACGGGAATGGCCGAACGACGTAGAATCTTCGTCGCCCGGGAGACAGCGAACACGCCCTATGGCTCCCAAATGTGTGTCCTGCCAGCCGGCATCCCTCACCCACCTGAAACACGGGGTGTCCCAGGTTGCTCTCCATGTAGTAGGTAGACTCGTTGAAGTCGCCCACGCGCGGGATGTGGTTCTTGCGCGACTTGCCGATGACGTGGCCGTGGTTGGAGATGATGACAGCCGTGTTCCACAGAACGTCACCGTGCGCTTCGTCACGTTCCAGGATCGGCGAGATGATCACCATGTTGTGCTTGGCCGCCAGCTGCGGACGGGAGAGGGACGGACGGCGTCAGTTGGGTCAGATGGTTCTGAACGGGGTGCTGAAGCGAAGCAGAGAACGCTACGGATGGCTACCGATAATTATAAATGATCAACAACAGGATTCTACACACTAGCATGCATAAGCCACACATGACCTCTACACATCTATTACAGAGCTAGCTAGGTACCAGGTAAATAAACATTAATGTAACAAGTTACCCATGTCTAAGCAGCTCGCTATACACGCAAGTACCGAAAAAAAAACGCTATGATTGTCGGGCGCACGGGTAGCAACAACGATAGCTTATCAATGCGAAGGCGCTTACAAATTGCAATCTATGACCCCTGAAAATCGACGAGCCAGGTTTTATATAAGCTAAAACAATAGGAGGAATATTGTGCTGGATGCTTAATCTAGACTCTTCGACTCATAGAGTCCTGAACTTTCAAATTTAATACTGCAAGTTATCTGTGCAGTGCATTTTATTTTAATCGTATAAATAGCTCCCCTTATGAACAAAAGCGTGCTCACATCTTGCAAAAAGTGCGTGGTCGGTCCATCTTCGGCACTCTCGGCGAACTCGCACCAAGGCTGCTTCTCGCGGGTGCAGAACGCGAACGGCATGGCTGCGGGACGGGACGAGGCTAGGTTACATCGCAAACAGTGTCACGTGGACGCTTCCGGACTGAGCAGGGCAGCTTTAACGGCACCCAGACATGTTTGACAGCGTGGTGACACAATGCGTGATCGACGCAACAACGATGGATACATACTTACAAAATCAAACTCGGTCAGACTACTTTAATCCTTTTCAGAAAAAAAACTCCCTCAGTCACGACCACAAAATCCCAAGACCTTCATTCCCACTCAGGCTCCTCTGAACGCCCCTTGATTTGATAGAAATTTCTTTCCCTGCCACTGGCCACCCGCACTCCGCAGTCCACTCACTCCAGGCCTCCTGTAGACAGATGACGTTGACTCGACAGCGGGCGGCCGTGGCTATCATCTCGGCCACTCGGTTCCAGATGGCCTGCCGCTGGTCGGCCACTGGCGCCGTGGTCGGCAGCACGATCTGGTTCTGGATCACGGCGGCTCGCACCACGCTGTGGACGGGGTGCAGAGGGGACGGGTGAGACGCACTTCCCTAGGACGTATGAAAGACTAGGGCGAGGGAGACGTATGTACGAAAGTTCAGCGGCAGCTAATCGAGACATCGATCCCTAAGCCAAGGAGTGAACACCAATGGTGGATGCTGGAACAGCTGACTGTAAAAGGAATGTGTTGTACATAACATGTACATGCAGAGCTGTATTGTATGTCACGATAAACGCGATCGATTTCGCCTGAGCATCTTGCGCCTGCCTCCACCTCCGTTAGTTGCCATTTATCACAGAGGCTTGACATGCAGCGGTCGTTCATACATCCGTGACATGAGCGTGAACCTACCGGGGCGGCCGGGTCGACTCCGTCAGGGCGGTGAACCGGTAGCCGGCCAGCTCGAACGAGCCCTTCTCCGCCTCCGCCCTGGCTTCAGTTGGCAGATCCAGCTTCCTGTCAGGAGAAATGGCGCCATTTGTGCAGATGAAAATGTGGTGCATATCACTGTTATTATATCAATCATCAATGAGCAACTGTGAACACACCATTGTCAGCCTACATTACTGTTGAACCATCTAATTGTTGCACACATTCCAATTTTAACAGCCATATATGACAAACAAATTTGAATGAAATTGTGAAAAAAATTATAACATATCCTAGTCAACTATCATGGATTGGAAAATGACAAATGTGAATGATACTAACTAGTATGTATTTACTCACTCAAGGTCTTTTCCATACAAGATCCTTTTCACTTCTGAGAGCTCATTTCCCTCCAATCTGTTGTTCAAAACATCTTCAACACTCTTGATGACATCACCCATGTTGAAAAATGTATGATCTGAAAAATGTGAGCATTATGCATACATTTCTGCAAAAACAAAACAAAACATCGAACAAAATAATGGTGGATATATTCAGTGTATCAGGACATGCCAACAAAAACCTAGATTTTTCCAAGTCTGGAAACTGAAAAAAGAGCACACAACAAACAGCTTTCCAGAATCAAGATGAAAGTTGGAATGGTTAGCCAAAACTCAACTGATAGGTAATGCTACATTTACCATGCAGATCAAAATTTGAAAAAGAGTAAGAACACTAATTATGCCATGGACTGGGTCTGGCCTACAACAGATTTGTGATTGTTTCTCCATTTAATATGCCCTCAGTAGGTAGGTACCTATCTTGATCTACTTTTAATGCTGTGCATATCAACTTAAGTCTTAACCAACCATGCAAAATACAATCTGCACTTATTAAACAATAAAGCGGAAAAGACGCCAGTGGGTCCATAGGTTTATTATTCAATTATTTATCATAGAAAAAATAAAGGCAAGCAATCATCATTTGTGGCAACCAAACAAAATAAATTATAAAATGCTTTGATTTGATTTGTATTGCAAATTTCAGAGCAACAACCTTTGAAGGATCTTTAAACATGATAGGAAAAAATATAATATTTAACCTTCACGCGTTGACTGTTTCCATCAAAATTGAAATGTCCGTGGAACATAATAAAACCGCACTGACACGTTCTCATATGGTTTATTTTTTTGCTGCTTATGAGTTGCTTACGAGGCTCCACAATTCACGAGGTTTATTTCTTTTATAATGCGATCTGCACCTTGATCTACACGGTATATCAATATAGGGTTTATATAGCCTTGATATATAGGGCCTTTTTTTAGTGGCCTTATATAGGGCCTGTTCCAGCGCCTCCAGAAGAAATTCTTGACTGGAGGCTCTACCAGAGGTTTTACTGGAGGCGCTGGAACGCAATCTGGAGATTTCTGGAGATTGGCGTCATAGATACCAAAAGAATGACGATTGTTCTCTCTTGAAACGCAAAATTTGTTTTCAATTTTAGTTAAAAAGATAAATAAAATTATAGCAATGTAATTTTCTTTACATTCAAGTTGTAAAATAATCAGTCAAATGTCCTTTGTTTACATTCGTGATTGTCACATGTGCACCATAATTGTAGACCAGAGCCTCCAGAGAAATTTGGACCTCTCAACTCTCTGGAGGCTACTGGAGGTTTCTGGAGCTTTGGCGAGAGCTTTCTGGAGCTTTCTGGAGGCGCTGGAACGCTCTCTGGAGGATTCTAGAGCTTTCTGGAGCTTTCTGGAGGTTTCTGGAGGCGCTGGAACAGGCCCATATCCTCGGCCTCGCAAGGAGGCTTTCCGGCTCGTGAAGCGAGACCGGTGGCCACTTTTTAAGGCAGAATAGGGAAACCCACGCAAATGTTATTTTCAAATAAGTGGAATTATTAGTGATTTAGGCCAAAACACCTTTATATGTTACAATAGTTCCAATGCGCTACGTGCTTGGCTACGTGCGCTACATTCGTATATAATTTTTTTCTGGTAGTTGATCACGTGGATTTCAAAAATGAGATATTTGCTGGAGTGTTTTAATGTTATTTGTTTCAATTCGAATAAAACTTTGTTTCTAGAATTTAAGAAAACAGCAAAAAACGTTTTGTAGAAATGTCATCAAACTCAATAAAAAAGGATATCTAATATATTTCCAATAGGTCACGTGATTTTAGGTTGTCAACCATCCCTTACCGGAAGTTAATGAAAATGTGTCCGGCGTCCCGGCAGTCTTTTCTGTTGCCGTTCCGCTTGTGGTGCGATTGGTTGTCATTATAGCCGGATTTGTACGTTTTTTAAAGGAAATTATTATCTTCGAAGGCTCAAGACAAGCAAACGACCTAAACGCATCGGTATGTATCAATCAATGTTGATGTTATTTTTGAAAACTTGAACTTAGGGACCCACGGACCCACGGCCTCAGCGGCTTCCAAGGCTCAAGCGAGCGGCCCCGTGTTTCTCGAGCTTGTCTGTCCTCTCCAGACCCCATTTAGTTTTTTGTAGGTTTGGTTCCAATGATTTCAAAAAATTGAGCATTCAAGAGTATTTAAACAACTGATTTTGCGCAATTGGTTAAATTAATGGACTGCCAGTTATTGTTAACACGGAATGCTCAGACTGTGCGGAAAGTGATCTTAATTTGACGTTCTGTGTAGTAAATACCTGGATGCTAATGGGAATTTTGATAACAATCTTAGAAAATAATTAAATAAATACAATTGGCTGGGTGCAGCAATGTGAGAATGCATGACAGGAAAGCTACTTGCCAGTTGCCACTGTTGAAATATGTACCTAATTATCATCATTTTCATATCAGTTGATTAGATCTTGATTTGTTAGTTACTCTATGAAACAAGTTCAAACTAGTCCATGAATCAATTTGAAGGTCATTTTCCCTTTTTCACCCTCTTTAACTGGACAAATTGGCAAAATAAGAACATGGTAGGAAGCACACATCCTCCTAAGCTTAACAAGGGAGATAACACATTGATACTTGTAATACTTCTTATACAAAACATATATAAGCTTCACCTGACCACATGTAACCTAGGGTGCAAAAGAGGGATTTCACCTGTTTGTTAAAGTTCAATCCTTGAAGGCAATATCTATTTACTTATGCTCATCATTATGAGGCTTGTTTTCCACCATAGGTACTTATCATATGCCTGAAAGAATAAAATGTGGCCAGATGTTTATAGGATAAACATAGGATTAACTTACAATACTATTCTATATTCATGATGTCATAGGGTGTTTGTGTGGACTCTCGGACGGGAGCAGCAACATCTGCCGCCGGTGCGGGAAAGGTGACCCGCCCGACTCTGGCCGGACTGCGCGCCGACCCGAGCCGTCCCGAGAGCGAGCGTGTGTCGACCGGCCGTCCGTCCTTGCAGATCTCCGGCCTGGCATGAACGGCATGCAGATGGAAGGCTACGGCGGCAAGAGGCATCGCTCCGACGAGATGGGAAGCCACGGCGACAGCATGCACGGCGGACACGGCCCGCCGCGCAAGCGCAAGGACTTCGAACCGATGCCGCCTAACCACATCCTGCTGTTCACCGTGATGAACCCGGTGTACCCGATCACGGTGGACATTCTGCACACCATCTGCTCGCCGCACGCGCGCGTCATCCGCATCGTCATCTTCCAGAAGAACGGCGTCCAGGCGATGATCGAGTTCGAGTCGGTGGAGGCGGCGTGCGCCGTCCGCGAGGCGCTCAACGGCGCCGACATCTACTCGGGCTGCTGCACGCTCAAAATCGAGTTCGCCAAGCCGGAGCGGCTGAACGTGAGCCGTAACGACCAGCGCAGCTGGGACTACACAGTGCCCGGGCCCGGTCAGGAGATGGACGTGCCGCCCGTCAAGAAGGCGCCGCTGCTGCCCGAGCCGCCGGCGGCGTTCGGTGGTGGCGGCGGCGGCGGAGGGTACGTGCCCGAGCCGCGCGGCCTGCCGCCAGCCGAGCCGATGCGCGGCTCCCGGATGGCCGCGCCGCTCTCGGATCGCGGCGGATACGGCGGCGGCGCCGACCGCGGCTACGGCGGCGTCTCGGACCGCTACATGGGCGGCGGCGGCGGCGGCGGATCCGACTACGGCGGCCGCGGCGGCGGCTCAGACTACGGCGGCCGTGGCGGCGGCTCAGACTACGGCGGCCGTGGCGGCGGCGGCGGGTACGGTGGACCCGTCCAGGACTACGGCGGCCGCATGGGAGACCGGCGCGGGGGCCGAGACGACCGTGTGGCCGGCGGCATGGGAATGGGCGGCGGCGGCGGCGGCGGCGGGCCGCAGCAGGGCGCCGTCCTCATGGTGTACGATATGGACAAGGACCGCATGAACCCCGATCGGCTGTTCAACATCTTCTGTCAGTACGGCAACGTGGTGCGCATCAAGTTCCTCAAGACGAAGGAGGGCTGCGCTATGATCCAGCTGGAGGACGCCATCGCTGTGGAGCGCGCGCTGGCTAACCTGAACAGCGTCGAGTTCTTCGGCTGCCGGATGCAGCTGAGCTACAGCAAGCAGCCGTACCTGAACGAGGTACAGCAGCCGCACACTCTGCCCGACGGCACGTCCAGCTACGGCGACTACTCGCGCAACCGCAACAACCGCTTCCTGGACCCTGCCAAGGCCAGCAAGAACCGCATCCAGGGGCCGTCGCGCATCCTGCACTTCTACAACATGCCGCCGGGCATGTCCAACGACGAGATTAACGAGCTGTTCACCAGCCACGAGCTAGCGCCGCCCGAGAGCATCAAAATGTTCCCGGCGCGCTCGGAGCGTAGCTGCAGCGGCCTGATGGAGTTCTCCTCGGTGGCCGAGGCCGTCGAAGGCCTAGCCGTCATCAACCACCTGCCGGTGCCGCACTCCAACAGCAAGTTCCCCTACACGCTGAAGCTGTGCTTCTCGAGCACGCGCGGCGGCGGCGGCGGACCGCGCGAGGGGCGCGGCGGTCGCGGTGACGACCGGGATGACCGCGGCCGCGGCGGCGACGACGGCGACCAGTACTACTAGACGCCAGGTGTGGTCGCGCTGCGCCCTAGAGCGCCCGCTCGGGGCGCCCCACTCGGGCGGGGTAGATGTAGTCGCTCGGCGGACAAAGTTTTGTCCTGCCGAGCCGCGCCGGCTCCAACTTATCCCAATCGCGGGTCATCATTCATCTCTGGGTCGCGCACGGAAAACTAGGTGCCACAGTATCATTTGGGATGGTCATTTGCGAACCACCGACCGGGGACGTCCGAACGGTTCGTCGAAAGTGCGGATTGGGTAGTTTTACTCGCCGACATTGGACTCATTTTGGGGCGGGTCGGCCACCTGCCGGAGCCCCCGTAGAGGCTCCAGCTGTCTGCGGGAGGCCTCGGCGAAACCTAGGATAGTGTGCGGAGAGGAGCAGTCTCCATAGATGTTCGTCATTTGTGTTGTATGTCTCCCATGTTCGGATGCCCTTCCATTTTTGACTTCATCCATTTGAGTCATCCATTTCGTTGTATAGTGATAAAAATTCACCCCTGATTAGCTTTCCTGTTCTTGCCGCTTATAATCGTTAACTTCCTATTAATTGCTTTTTGTATAGGGTTAAACATAATATCTATTCAAATTTCAACATCCTTCACTCTCCCGTTCAGGACAGAAGCAGCATTCGAAAAATACTGCTCTGGTCACGGACAGCTTGACAATGTACGCGAGAACGAGCGCAAGTAGTTACACGCTGCAGCCTCATACTGTCATCTGACTCGGACAAACCATCCACTGTATCGTACTGCGTGAGACGCGCCATTCTGACCACCCAGCCGCGCATGTGCTCCCACCTGTCACGCGAACCGGTCCGGTCTCACAGACCACACTCGCTGGCGGTCCGCGTTGGCGGTTTTGTTCACACTGACTGGTGCGTCGTCAGGATACAGAATCACTTACGAGCTGACGGTGCACCGAACACCTCCCTGTCATGTCAATTTGTAACACTGTCATGTGGCGCCAGATCATTACACTCTCTGCCGGCTTACACATGTTTTCTGGGTGGGACAGGGGCACGGATTCTGACGCTATGGCTAGTTGTGGGGCAGGATCACGACTGACATGTTTCTAGGTGGGACAGCGACACGGATTCCGGCTCGTTTATTGGGCGGGGCAGTTGCACGTATTTAGACATGCCTAGATTGATCACATATTTGGACGTGGGGGGAGGGGATATCGCGGATGTCGGATAACACCGTTTTTAGTGGGTGGCGTGGCTCTCTGGTTCAGACGTGTTATTACTTATGCAGGTGGGTGGGGCCCGAAGAGGGAGGGGATAAATTCAAACGTTTAATGGGCCGAGGCAGAGACGCGGACGCGTAAAATGAAGTGTTCGTCAGAAGTGCGTGAGGCCCAAGGCCCTAACGTGATGCCGATTCACTGTAATTGGCGGATGAGAAAGTGATGAATTTCAGGCGACAACCACTCAATATTCCATAAATTACATAGTTGAGTTATCGTATTACTTATTGCCTCATTCATTGGTGACGCGCACCTTCTTACTTTTATTTGTCTCATTAAGATGTTATCCATTTCAACCCATCTTATTTGCGCTGCATTTATTCTTTTTGCTGCATTTTGCAGATACACATACGGACCTTTGCATAGATTTCTCACCGCTACAAAACAGTTTCGGCACGCTTCTTTGGGCCCTATCCAAACGGATACTTCCTGGGAAAATAGTGATTCGAATAGGCAGCTTGTAAGCGCGATAGATCCAGTGGAGCGTCTTGAGTCTTGACTGATACGGACGTTGTCTGAGACCCGGCCTGCGGTCGATGATCACGATCGCTTATCTTCGGTAGGTACTGAGATTTGTGTTTTTGTAACTACTTACTACATGATAAGTACGCGATCTGAGTGTAGTGGGTAGGCGTGTCTTATCGTGCGTTCAGCGACAGGCCTTTAGCTCGAAAATGCAAAGGCGGGATCTACGCTAAATTAGCAGCGTTACAGCGATTTAGGTTATTGAGTTTTAGTTCAGGGTTACTACGCCATGCATAGTGAAGACGCAAGGGTATGGCTATGGGGCGACCAGTTCAGGACAGCAGCAGCAGCTCTGTGACCACTCACTGCAGACCACTGAGCTGTCAGTCGGCACCTGAGTCGGTCACTCAATCCCACCAGCTCCCGGCTGGCACTTGGCAGCAGCAGCAGCTGAATAATCACTCCAGTTCGTCAACCAGACCACTCCAGTTCGTCAGCTAGACCAGTCCAGTGCCAGTTCCAGTACCGTTCGCCGCAGCACCAGCCGCACTACAGTACACGGTAACATATTGTACTCGTACCGTAGATACCTTTATTACGCTTCACAATCATACTATTGGACATTCTGATACATTGTCATTGCATTAGCTGATGCTTCTATTGCAACATGTTACGCTGTCATCGCATTATCAACGCATTGTTACAGCATGTCTCATTACTGATAATTCTCACCGCATCTGACATTTACATCGTGTGCATTGAACTGTGCTGCATTATCATCTCACCATGCATAACATTACCATGCTGATTCCCAGTTGCCAGGTCACATGCGCGTCTGCCACCAGACGAGCTTTGACAGATCCAGATCACAGGAGCACTCATCAGCCGGCACCACCAGACGCCCAGGGAACTCAGGGCGCGAGGCACTGGGTCCCGACAGTCACCAGAGTGCGGCACTCCACTGTGGACAGGCTCACAGAACAGCGGGCCAAGCGAGAGACCCGGCTCCAGCCGCCTCGACCGGCTCATAAACAGTGGGCGGCCGCGCAGTGAACAGTGAACACTGATGAAGACCTGCACCCGTGTCAACCACACCCCTATTGCCAGGACACCGGCTGCTCAAACTGCCTCCAGTTCAGTCTGCGCCAGTCCCCAGTCTGCCCCCAGTTCAGTCTGCACCCAGTCACTTCCAGTCTGCATCCGTACCCAGTTACCCAGTCACAAACCGTACTAAATCGTGTTTTCACCCAGTCTAGTCTGCACCTAGTCTCAGCGTGTGGTGCCTTGTCCACTGTAAAGTGTCAAACTCCTATTCAACGCAGTAATTAAACTGTACCTATTCCCCATTTTTGTCTACTTCCTCCAGTGTATGGCCATTTTCATCCTTTACCCGTTCACCTAATGCCAATGCCCAGTACCGATCTATGCCCATTTTTAGTCTTGATTCATGCTCAGTCTATGCCCAGTCGCAGTCTTTGTACAGTCCCCGTCTGTACTCAATCCAATTTGCATCGTGTACCCTGCCCTGGTGTCCATCCAATCAAATATGCACCCAGCTCCTTACCTGCACCCAGTATCAGTCTGCACCTGCCACGAGGGCGCACGGAGCCTCGCCGGTCTTCCACACGGGTCCGCCGCGGCAGCCACACGGTGTGCCAGCACTAGAGTCACTGCGGCGCCACAGCCACGGCCACGAGCACAACCATCCAGGTACGGTGTCGCCGGCCAGTGCCGCCCGCGAACTGACCCTGCAGCGGAGCACGCACCTCCCTGCCACCGCAGCGTCTTAGTACAGTAAGCTAGGGTGCCGCTCCAGCTTCTGACATGCATTGGCAGACCCCAGCGCGACAAGCTATGACTAATGCATCTTTGAGACATCGCATTTCGCAGATAAATTCTTAACTTGTGGGCTATATGCGATTACTGGAACATTTATCCTCAAATGCATGTTTCAGCTTCCCTCGGCGATGGGCTAGAAAGCTCGCCGAAGCTCGATGGGTACAGTGGGGTAGGCACAGGCAATGTTGTAGTCAGTAGTCACGTCTACTCACGTCGGTATAATGCTGATGTCTGGTGATGTCCTGTCTTCAATTATCCATGCCCACATTCACTATCGCAGCCATTTGTCAATCAGTCACAATAAGCAGATGACCAGGGACAGTGGCGCTTCACACTTCCACCTTATCTTCTTGCATTTTGGTGCTCAGTGCTCGCCGTTATCCAGTCACCACACAAAATTACTTCAAAGCACCGATTGTTCTCAGCCTTCTGGCCACCATTTCTTGCTGGCCACGGAAATGATTAATCTTTATCTGTATTCCTGATCATTCCTTTTCCATCTGATCATCGGCAAAAGTTGTTCGCTTTTGCGATTAATGGTCGTGTGGAAGGTCGAGACATGTGTGTGCTGTTGTGCGTTTAGTGACTGAAAGTCACTAGTGTTTCTTCCAACCTCCCCTGACTGAATGCCTTTAATCTGTATGCTCTTTGTTTGAAACCAAAGATAAAGAAAAGTGCTTTTGGGGTTTAAACTTAAGAGGCCTGTGCACAATGCAGCATATTTTGTGGTGGAACGTTTCCAGTTGAAATATCCGGAATATCAGTTCGTCATTAATCGCACACGGCAACACACATGTCCGGCCAAGCCATAGACCGCTCTATCTTTGCGAATCTTTATGGCTTATCAACTTTATTTCACCTGGCGGCTCCCCGTGTGCCACCTCTCGGCCCAGTCCCCTGTGTGACACCTGCCGATGTTCCAGGCGGGCGTCATAGTCCCCAGCGTGGTCTCCAGCAGCGGCAGCGATGGTGCAGCGGCGTCAGGTCGAGGGGTTCGCCGCGTTCGAGCAGGTGTACTCCGAGCTGAACGGCTCCGATAAGGATGTGTTCATACTGTTCAGCGGCTCCGTGGACCCGGCCACCGGGCACAGCTGGTGCCCCGACTGCGTCAGTGGTGAGTGGTGACAATCTGGTGCTCTGTCCATCAGTGTAGTGGTGACAGTGGTATCAGTGGTGATACTGGCCCCGACTGCGTTAGTGGTGACGGACGACGGTGAGTGGTGACGCTGTTGCCCACTGCAATGACGAACAATGATCAGCCCATAACACGTCTATGTCTTACGTCTTTACAGCAAACATATGTGTAGCTCGATGTACGTTTTGCCAGTGAGCCATGGTGTCCGCGCTGTCTTCGTCGTTTTGCAGTGTCAGGGGACAGCAGTTATGCAGCAGCGTCCATGTAGTTAGGAGCGGAAACTCTACAGATATGATGTCTTCCTGTTATGCTCTATCCAACTGTAATGTTAGTGACTACTTCCTATTAGGTTTTGTCCACTGATCGGTGTTTCAAGACCCTGAGTTCTGACACGTCCTTTCTGATTTCCCTTTGCAGCTGAGCCGGTGATTGAGAAGGCACTCGCCTCCGCGCCGGAAGATGCCGTCTTCGTGCATGTGTCCGTCGGACCGCGTGACTTGTGAGTAGCGGGGCCGGGGAAGCAAAGGGCGGACTTTTTGACGTGTGTAGTCGTTTGACGAAGGCATAATGGGTTGTAAATACGGGACAGCTGCTACTGGGCGCAAAATGACCTTAGTAGTCTGCGCGCCCTAAAGCCCCAATCAACAACAACAGCTGTTGATCAGTTAAGTCTTGTATTGGAAATCGAGTTCCCGCGCACTCGAGATCGGCATTTGGGTATTTGGACGAAGAACGAGCGGTGAAGTTTCATGCACTTTATGGTTCACCGAGATCGGAATTACGCCTACTCACTGACAGAATACTACGTTCGCATCAACCCCTCTTAACAAGTCTCTCCCCCCCCCCCCCCCCCCACCTTCGTCCAGCTGGAAGGACCCCAACTGCGTGTTCCGTACCGACGAGCGAACTCGGCTGAAGTCAGTGCCGACGCTGATGAAGCTGGGCACCGCGGAACGGCTGGCAGAGGAGCAGCTGATGAAGGCTGATCTTGTGGAGATGCTGCTCTCTGAGTGAGCGGGCTGGGGAAGATCTGGGGCCGACTGTACAGTCAGTGTCCTCAGGGACAGGTGGATGGTGACCCAAGGCCAGAGCGAGGACGGGACAGCTCGCTGGGTCGGAGCTGTGTGCGTGCTGTGTTCAGCTAGGTGGCTGCTGCCTAATAAGCTGATCGGCCTCGCCTGGTTCCCTTCCAATCGTCACCCTGCTCGTCCCAAAGATCGCTACGATACGCGATGGTGATTTGTTCCAAAGTTGGACACTTGATCCCCAGCTATGCTGGAACCCATCATGCCATATTGGCTCTGACAAAGATCAACAATTGAGTGCTGTAAGTGTGCACTTCAAGTGAATTTTAAGACGAATAGGCGTGGATATGCTTCGCTATTGAACTGTTACAACAATATGTGATAGTTATATTCCAAATACATGCCACTGAAATCATATTTCGTTTTTTCACTTCTATGAATATGACACTGGTGGAAAATGAAGCGAAAGATAAGTATATTTTCAACTCCGACACACGCACACGACATGCTCCACTCGGTCATTCGACTGTCACACCGTCGATCGAACGAGCCTCGGCAGGCGAGTTAACCTCTAGCGTTACACTGTGACTGTCCCTGTCAGCCCGTGGCAGTCGAGTGGGCTCGCCGGGACCGCTCGGCACCGGCACTCCGCAGGCACTACGTCATGTCACACCATCACGATATCACAGCAGGGGCGGACGCGCCGCCCCGCCGGCGGCCCCGGCACGACCGCCGCGCCGGCGCTCAGCCGCCACCCTCGCTGCTCAGCCACAGCCGCTCTGGCGGCGCGGGTCGCTATCGTCCCGGAGCCCGCTGTGTGACCTGCCGCTCCTCTGCTCTCCTCTCAGTCTCCGCGGACGGGCACCTCTCAGTTCTCCTCAGTTCGTCTCCCGATCTGCTGCTCACCCCCTGGCGGCCAGGCTGAGAACTGTGAGTGCCAGCAGCGCCGGTAGATGGCAGGCGGCGGCGGCGGCTGTGCTCTTGGGCTCCTCCGGCTCCGGCTCCGGCTCGGGCGTGGTGGGCGGCTCGGTGGGCGGTGGCTCTGTGCCGCGCTGTGCCGTGCTCAGTGCGTGGTTGATGGCGCGCATCAGCTTGTACTTGGTGCCGCAGTTGCCACGGAAGTCGTCAGTGTCGAGTGTCCACACCATGGCTCCTGCCAGCTCGTACCGCATCGCCAGCTCCACCTGGTGGTCATAGCGGGCGTCAGTGGAATGTGGCCGCAGGGCACGGACTGGGGGACGGGAAGGCCAAAGTACTTACTGTGGGGACTGTAGGTAGAGAAGAACATCGACTGCACACGCTTTTTCTGAAGTCAAACCCGACTTCAGAAAACCATGAAAACTAAATAGTCGGGGGACGGGCTGGTCGAATTTGGTTAGAGGTTGAGCTCTGTCTTCGATGGATGGGATGACGATGTTGTTTAGGATGTCAATGAGCCACTGTCACCGATAGGTGGGGCGACTGTGATTGGGTCGGGAATGGGGCCTCGGTTGGCAACAGTCTCTCAGCAGGATCTGTTTATGACGGAGCCTGAGCCGGTGATGGGCAGTTGGTAAATATTTAACACTTTGCCGTGCCATCAGCAGTGACGGAATACTTTTCAGGATGTTTTCAGTGATAGTGCGTCTGGCATGCACCGTACATGTAAATTTCAAGGGCTTCACATGGCATGCTAGGTGATCAAACACGGGTATCAAACCAGAGGGCAGTCCAATTTCCCCCATGATTGTGTTGGTTTGTTGGACATGCTCGATATCCCGAGAGATATAGCTATTAACGTACGGCAACCGATGAAAGTACAGTCTCTGCTTAGCATTTTCCTTCTCTGATTAGCGAGAGCACTCAGAACCTCAGAACATCTGAAATCCTGCTCTCCTCCGCGTCATACTCGTCGTTCGTACGCTTTCTCATCACACTGTCCACGCCAGTAAATAGTTCGTATCCCGCGACCGCCCCCCCCCCTCTCCCCTGCACTGTCTCCCCTCCAATCCGTCCCCTCATCTCCCTCACCTTGTTTGTGATGGACTGTTCGTCGTCGAGGCTGACCCACATGTTCTTGTGGAACACGTAGGGCACCTTGGCCTCGTCATCCCATCGCGTGGTCCAGGCGATCGGCTCCGCCGCGCGCATCTCACACATCTCGTTATAGCCGAGGAAGCCGTCCTCGCGCGTGTAGGGGCCCTTGAAGGCCTTCTCGGCGGTCGGGTCGCCCACTTCGTGCCGGTCGACGTCGACCAGTTTGAAGGTGCGCCCGTAAAGAGGTACGCCAAGGACCAGCTTGGCAGGGTCGGCGCCAAGCTCCAGGTAGGTGTTCAGCGTGGCGTTCTGGGAAGACATGTGAGATGTCAGACAGATGGCGAAGATGGCTCGTCCTTTGTGAAGCTGGGCCCGATCTGCCAACGTTGCTATGCTCTCTGTCACGATCCACATATCGTTCGTGGTAAGCAACGGACAGCTTGGTAATTGGTTGGTCTCGGACCATTCGCTCTAAGCTCGCAATACCACCCAATCTTGTCTCTTCCACTCAAAGGTGATGCATTCCACTGAAACACCAGTGACGCTCTACACTGCTGCAGCTAAGGCGACCTCGCATGCGGGTTGCGAGTTTTTGGGTTTTCGAGTTTCTTCACAATCAAATAATACAAGCTGAGTGACCCACACTACCATCTAACAAGCAAGTCTGCATGTTTTTGGCTTGCGAGCCACCTTACATCGCATTCCAAAAGTTGATTTTGAGCCAACCTTCGATTTTCCTCGCTGCGAGGTCTCCGAGTTCTGCGAGGCTTGCGGGTTTTTCGTTGGAGTCGAATTTTGGTTCGTTGCGGTGGTACTGCGACTATATGTAATTTTCTGAAGGTGTACCGGCTTCACTGCATTCATGAAGTTAACATTAGGATACGGTCTAATTACTCTATGAATTAGTATTATGCCCGCAAACTCAAAACCCGCAAACTCGCAACCCGCATGCGAGGTCCAGTGTGGGGCGGCCTGACTCTATTCTACGCCATACCTCTGCCATTCGATCCCACCACTCCACGCTCCTCTAAAGCCCATCTCCATCCCGCCGTCAGCAAGCTATTCGCTGTCCACAGCTACCCTCCACCCTCCTCCCTGCAGCAGTCCCAGCACCCGTGACTTCGTAACCAATGACTCCGCGAACTCAAGGATTTCGCGGACACACGGTAACACCCATACTATCCGGCCGTCTCGCTGCCACTCACCACGCTGAGTTCCTCGCCGGTCAGCGGCGCGTTGTGGCCGGTCTCCTGGTCCCACTTGCCGTGGTAGTCGTACGACATGATGTGGATGTAGTTGAGCAGCTTGGACAGCTTCGGCACGTCGTATGACACGCTGATGATGGACTGAGGCGCTGCCACGGCAGCCGTCAGAAGCCAGCCGCGCGGCTCGTACGCCTCACGCAGCTCCTGAGGTCAGAAGTCAAAGGTCAGACGGGATCGGACAGAGATTCGACAGAAGTCAGACTAAGTTGCTATGAGATAACTTAGAGGCCCCTTACAGCGAGGAAAGACGGATCGTATGACTTGCATGCGCTAATTGTAGAATGGGAGATCCAGCCTCCCAAAGCTATTCTGACCTTATTTTAAGTTAGAAGCGAGCAAAATGACCTCACATTTCCGGGCGTCCGGGTGATCTGTTCTGAGCCTGCTTGTTCCTGGTCCTTCTATATCGGACGCTGGTCAACGTTGCCCGTTCACTGCCAGTAACCTACCTCGACGAGTTTGACGAAGTTCTGCTTGTCCTCGGGGATGCCCATCCGCCGGGCCGGGTACTCCCAGTCCAGATCCAGGCCGTCGAAGCCGTGCGTCCTGCGGCGGAAAAGTCACCTTTCAAGACCTTTAGTCACTATGCAATGTTTGATTAGTCGGGCTAGGTTTGGTTCGATAACCGACGGATAGCGCTAGTCCGTTCACTGGCTGTTCGAAGGATGTCGATGAACAGGATGCAAGACAGGACAGAGGACTGGTCGGGTGAACAGGAAGGTCGGCCGGGATGGCGCGAGAGGCGGACGGTGAACAGTTAAAGGTGATCAACAGCCAACCAGCCAGCCAGTTAGAACCACACCGCATTCGGCATTGTGAAGAGTTTGAGCACCGAATCCGGGGCGGGCAGTCAGCTGGGAATACGGAAAGTACGGAGACCGACGAGAGGCATGCTAAAAGACGCCACCATACGGATGTGGATGCGGATGGCGGAGCTCATAAAAGTCGTTTGAGTTTTGACGGACGTGAAGATCCGGTAATAGTAACCAGAACGGAAAACGGTGACGCGATTTAGTCCGGTTGAGCGCAGCACGCGATGGTGATAACGGATGCGGCGCACCGCGTGAAATGACGTCATAAGTGGCGTGCAATGACGTCAAAAGTGGCGTGGAATGACGTCACTCCAGTGGGCGCTCCGGTAGCCGTTCTGAGCGGGCCACCCTTGCAGCCTCAGCAGTTTGCTCGCCGTCCGATAGATAGCTCATCTATTGCGGCCTTGTTTCTGCCACAGTTGCACAACGAGCCTCTGACATCTCGCACGCGCCGGTGCTTCTTTAGGTCAGCGCCGAGACGGCTGACCTGTTGGCGCGGAAATCGGAACCGGTTGGCGCCGTCTGGGTGTGCGGACGGACAGGATTGCGCCGGGAGCACTGACCGCCGGCCGGCCGGGGAGTGTCCACACGTGCCGCCGAGCGGAGGACAGCGACTGCAGGTGGCCGCGGCCGCTACTGAGTGCCGGTACACCGTCCCAGGTCGGCTGCAGCCGCGGGAACGACGGCAGGATGAGTCAGGTCCGAGCGTATGACCCGAAACGGACACCGTAAGCAATGACTGGCTGCTGGGTATTTTCCACGCCAAACTTAGCGACCTCGTCCTATGATAATGAGTATGGAGTTTGAGGCCAAACCTTTCTCAAGCAGATGTCCAATACAGTGGCGGCGCTACACTGCTGAGGCGTAATTCGCACCTCCCTATTCCGCGGTATTTA